CCAACATTGCAAGGATATCCCATTTTGCCCAAGAAAGGCGACTGAGGTGGTTGTAACACATTCTCCGTCGTCAACCCTACGAACTCTGTGAGACTGCCTTCGCTCCGACACCGTTACCTAATTGGAGAAGTCGAAGAGGGGACGAGTTAAAAACCTGGCTGGGCTCAGTACGTCAGGACATGGAAGTTGTTTTTAAACCGTCGACACGCGACCTACGACGTTGGCGAAGAGAATGGATTGAAATGACATGGTCTACTGCCACGGATCGTCACTTATGGATAGGCACCATCCAGGACATATTTGAGGCAGGCAAGATCAAGCATAATCACATCTGTAACAAGTGCAAGCACAAGAGTTCCAATAGGACGTTGCAATCACAGATCTGCTGCACAAACTTCCAAAGAGGCACGGCTTTTCCCGCCTATGCAAAGCCCCTTTCCGCTTTGGGTTAACTAGCTCCTGTAAATGTGCAATAATGGTTTCACATGTAAAAAACACCTTCACGTACAGGAATGGACAAAGTCCGCTAAAACGGTACACATACACCGATTAGACCAACGGTGTGGTTTACGTACACGTTCTTTGCAGTATTTGTAGGCTAGAATGGATGGACAAATGGCGACAAAGGGGGAGGAAGGAAATTAGAGAGTGAAGATTATGGAAAGAAGAGGAACAGGAAGAAAGGAAAGTACCCGAATCCAACTTGAAAATTGACGGTAAAATATGATACTACTAGTGACGCCATTCATCATAAGTGGTCCATTTTACATCTAAACGGCATCACGAATGCCCACCTGGCATTTCAGCCGGGCGGGTGGTCAGTCGGTCTGTCAGTGGCAGACGCCCGAATGAAGTTGAGTTAGTTGACGCGCCAGTCCACAGACTACAGGGTCAAGAAATGCGTTCTGGATCAGCTGTCACGTGGTCACCCCCAGGCCATCGCCAGTAAGGCCCCACTTGGGTAGAGATTTCAACCTCGGGTTCAAGAGGCATATGACTCAATTATACCAGTAAGCGAATAATTGGGCACAAACGGCGGATACTGTTCTGGGCCGGCTCTATAGCAGTGCAATGGATGCGCAATCGGAGAAGAGTTCAAAGATCAAAGCTGGTGGGTCTTTTCGAACGAACGCAAAGTATTGCACGCGTTTATGAAACGTTCTTCTTGATTGAGGCCGATTACGTACGCAAGTTAGCATTTGGTCAACTCCCAAGCCAGATCTTGACGAAGACAAATAAAGGCCGTGTATTTCAGATTGATACGATAGTCCATTTTATTCATATAGTGGGATATCGACCCAGACTGGCAGGCTGTCCGTTAATCCCATTAGTTTACCAAAAGGGTATTCTCGAACCGGAAGGTCGAAGTGATTATTTTAAGCTGGGCAGCTGATTTTATATCCATTTCAGTTCTTTTCACATTCATTTGGAATACAGTACCCTGGAGTGTGGCAGAGGAAGTCGTTATTACCGCAATGCTGCCGGCCCATCCCAGAGCCATCATACACCGTCCAGGATCTAGTTTGTTACTGCGCAAGGGCAATCAGTCGGCGCGACTTAAAGAACGGTTAGAGAATTGTTTAGGGAATGCAGGCCTGAAGAAAACCATAACTGATCTGAGCGAAACCCACTCCTCCTCCTCCTCGGTTCAGTTTGTGGTATGACACGATGCAGTACGATGTGCCTGAGGGAATCGCTTTGGTTAGATTTAAATACAAAGCCTAGGACACGACATGAATGATCTCATTCTAAGTGTCAGTCGCTGCCACGAGGGACTATAGCTTCGGCTCTCCCTCCGACCGATACAGCAGACAGAAGCCTCTTAGACATGAAGCTTACTTTGTGGAGAGATACGAGGAAAATATAGATAAAGGCACTGTCATACAAAAGAGTAACAGTTGGTAATTTCCTACAAACGATCG